TCTAGGATTTATTTCCAGCAAACTAACTTACTGCCCTTGCCCACAGCAGCAGGCACAGCATCTCACTTACACTCATCTCCAGCTGCCCCCAGCAACAGCCACTTCCATCATTTCATTTAGCACTCTCTCTGCTCTAGAATCACACTGATTTTTATTTCCAGTTTAGCCCATCACTGGATGGCTGAGTTAGTAAAATTATTCTGATCATGAAACCTCAACTAGAGTCAGTTGATAGCTTTCCTTCACTTTTAGTGAAACAAAAAATTGGAATAGTTAATGGTATGAAGATCCTTTCTGCTTTGTCCCCCCAGAAACATTAAATGGAAAAATAAGTTTAAAATAAAAATACTCGCAAAATTTAGGACAGTTCTCAAAAACTACATTATTCAATGAGGAAACACTTGAAATTCCTTAATTTTATCATTCATAGTTCTATATATCTGCAGGGATTTACACTGTTCAATAAATAGATGTAACAAATTTGGTTACCAGATGTTGATATATTATCTTCATTTGAGCACAGACAGCTACATTCAGTGTTCCTCAAACAGTAAATATATTTGTTTTATATTAGACATCTGAAAAATAACAGACCTGTTATTTTGGTGCTGACATTTTAAAATACTAAAACACTGATAACCAGACACAACTCAGAACTCAGATTCCTGACTTTTCATCCTTCTTGAAGAAAAAAACAACAACAACAAAAAATAGAGCCATCATTGAGTTAACACTCTTACACAAGATTTATTTCACATTTATATTTCAAAACAGTTTTTATTTTGTGCTACAGAATCTTTTGCCCTTCACTACCTACATGTTCTCAAGAAAAGAAGTGATTCTTCAAAAAAAGAAACCAATTCATTCCAGACGTGGCAGGAAAGCAGCTGGAAGTTGTGAACACACTGCAGCAGCAATTCACAGCTCATCTTACTTCTAATATATGAGACAGCAAGTTCTAACTCAAAACGTCTGCAGAAGTTTTATTTTCCTCCAGACAGTGACAGTCATTCAACTATTAGGATCCCAGCCATGCACAGACTGAAATATGAATAATAAATGGAAAAGTAAAAAAACCCTCCACACCCTCTTGAAAGTATAAATCAGAAATCTGCCATTTCTTTAATAAGACTATTGTTTTCAAATACAATCTCTCTTAATCTGAGGTGTGGAGTCAGCCTGCTCCACTTTACTGTGGGCTTTCAATAACTAAGTGGAGCTGCTTACAAGAAAAAGAGAGTAATTTTATCAGGGTCCCTACCGACAGCATGAGGAACAACTGCTTTCAATGGAAGAGGGCAGGTTGAGATTGGACATAAGGAAGAAATTTATGATGAGGGTGGTGAGACAACACTGGCACAGGTTGCTCAGAGAAGTTGCAGATGCCCCAATTCTGGAAGTGTTCAAGGCCAGGGTGGGATTTAGAGCAGCCTGGTCTAGGGGAAGTTGTCCTGCCCATGGCAGGGGCTGAAATGGCATGGTCTTTAGGGGTCCCACCCAAGCCAAACCATTCTGTGATTCTAGCACTCTTTTCTAGCCATAAGTGACATGAAATGGTTCCCCCCATGCCACCCCAAGGTATCAAGGAACTTTAAGCCAAATTCTTAGACTTATTACTATCATCCTCTAGAATTTTGCTTTTCTAAAACATCTCAGTTGGAGTCACAAATGAGTGATTCTTGAATCTTATTTTTTTTCTTAAAATAGTGTGAAGTTCTACAGAGAAATGTTGCTTTAGTTGCAAAACCTCCTTGGAGGTGTACATTAACATGTGTAGAGTCATAGGAAGGTTTGGGTTGGAAGAAACCTTAATGATCATCAAACTCCAACACAGTTTCCATGGGCAGGGACACCTTCCACTAGAATGTTAATATGTATTTTAATATGTATTTTAAGTCTTTGGTTAATCAGAAATCAAAATTCACATTTTGGTTGCTATCATTTATAAAGCCCTGATTCAGGATGGGAATGCACACACTAAAGAAACATTGAGTCCTAAAGAGTTACATTTTCTGGTTTCACACCTTAACAGCATCACATTAAACACCATGAATCCTTCTAAGATTGCTATCACAATAAATTAAAAAGCAACTGGTATGATCATTTTATACAGTTGCCTCCAGAAAAGTATTTAAGATCATAATAAAAACAAAGGAATAAAAACCAGACTTTCACCACTTTCCCTTCTTGCTGAACAGAAGAGGGGTTATGTCAACATAGTTAAAGTGCTCAGCATGAACACTACAGAAAATAGAAGTGCTGTGATTACATCTGAAGGTCATCTTTTACAGTATTAGGGACACAAACTTGGGGCAAGGTGGGGAGAAAGGAAATATCTATAGGAATCAGCTGTATCCTCTGAGATCAGTGATGAGAAAAGAACATTCCTGAATGTAAAGCCTGCAATACACACACAGCTCTTCCAGAACAAATTCCGTCCAGCCACCCACAAAACCTTACTTGGCTCTAGAGTCATAAAATTGTAGTCAAGAAAATCTGGAACAATCTAGAAAAAAGAACAGAGTTTCCAATCCACAAGCATTAGGAAATTACTTACCACATACAGGAATGTCTGTATATGAACTAGAATTTTTGTACGTAAATACAAATGTACTGTTTTCGACAAAATAAAATTTTGTTATGGAGCCAAAAATAGATTTAATAAGATGCATTATATCCAATTCTCACATGTCTGATAAGGAGCAAAAAAGGCATAAATTTGTATTTTTTTTTAAAAAACTGAAACTATTCAGGAGTAATAAAGGTTTCAAAAGCAGGAACTTAAACACACTCAACAGGATGTTTCATGTATAAAGGCTGGTATCATAACACCATTCTGCAGATTACAAAGAAAGGTTAGAATCAAGGTTTTAAACTTCATTTTGCAAGTCTTCTGAGGCTTTGCTTCAACTTCTCCTGGATATCTCAGAGATGCTGCCTATTGAAACTGTTTTATCCAACTCTGATACAAAGCCTTTAAAGCTTTGCTTCAACAAAAGTATTATTCATTGAAATCCATTTCTGCTAAAAAAGAATCAGAGCTTTATAACTGAGTTTGAGATCCTTAGCTCAATGGCTGCAGAATCTCAGTAGCAACAGAATTGAACTTCACTTAAGGAATATGTTAACAGAGCACTTCAATTTGAGAGAAAAGTGTCGTGGAGTTTAAGACAAGCCTTGAAGTAAGGACAAGCCAAACAGACACACTTTAACTTTCCTTTATGTGGAAAATGGTGATGACAAAACCACAATCTTTTACTGTCATCTCCAAATCAAACACTAATGGCATTTAAATTTACCCTGAAGAACCTTCAATAGTTGCAGATCAACTTTGAAGGATTCAAAGTAAGCTCTGTAACAGTGCATCTCTTGCATAAAATGCAGATTTGAAAAAAACATTTATGAAAATCCAGAGGACAGAACTTGTGATGTTAGAAATGTAGTACTCTAAAAAACGACTGACATATGCACATACTAGGTACTAACAATGTAAATTAGTCATCAAGCTTTGGTGATAGGAAACAACCAAAGAATAGCTTCTGTATCCCAGAAATATTACCTGAAGGACATGGAAAATTAAATAAACTTTAAATAGTGCTGCAAATATGTCCATACTGAGAGTCTGTAGCAAAACCATTATAGGCATCTGTGGCAAAGTTACAAACAGCTATTTAAAAAAAAAAATGAAAAAAAACCAACAACAAATCCCCCCTAAAAAACCCCAAAAAACAAACAAAACAACAACAACAACAACAACAAAACAACAACAACAATAAAAAACACCCAATAAAACTCCCTCCAAGACCAAATGAGGTCTCCAATTTGAAAGAACTCTTGTATGACTGATTACAATATCAAGGGGTGAGTCTTGGTATATAATTAACATTACTCAGAACATTAAAATCAAGAAAAGCAGTATATATATATTTACACGATATTATAAAATACAAGAACAACAATTTGATAATTGAGAGAATTTTTTCTCCCAGCACACAACCCACAATAAAAATAATTTCTTTAAATTAAGACTCATTCTGCATTGCATTTGAATCATTTCAGGATACATGTAACTAAAATGATCTATATAAATAGAATATTTCCTTAGTGCTGCTTCTTCTAACATGCTTCATCCTCTGAGGTAAAATGCTTCAGGGTATTATTAAGAAATTAGTTAAGGAGAAATGCATTGAAACAAGAAATCAGTTTGCATTCAGAAATGCAAGTTTCAAGGTGCATTGACAAGAACTGTACACAAAACAGAAGAAAAGATCACCACAATTAACAGTCACATTTAGGTGCTGCAACCACAATCCCTGTATTCTGTAACATAAACAGTTATGAACTTTATTTAGGTTTTGTTTTCACACTTGAGACTTTGAAGGAGTTTCAACTGCCATACCAGTACTGCAGTGAAGATGGGGAATGCTGGAGTAAAAGCAATACATCTCCTGTGACAAAGAAAAAAAGCAAAAGCAGTGGACTTTTCCTACTCCTAAATCAAACAAAAGCCACTTTTCACAAAGTGCCACTCAAACAAGAAAATCCAAATTCTAACTACAGACCACTTCTGGATCGTTTCATCATGACTATGAAAACTTGGTAGTACCATAAAAAAAGAAAAACATTCTGTAAATTGGAGATACTGCCTGAAATTCACATCAGTCAAGGTAAGAGATTTACTGCTGTCAGCTCCATGGGGCCCAAACACAGACTGCACCAAAGGAGCAACTTAGGTTGAAATCAACTTAGAAATCAAGGTGCTCACAGTAGGACTGAACATCTCCTATGCTGTGCACTGCTTCTTTACAAAGGCAGTATTCAAGTTCCACAAGAGCACTGTTAATTCGGTCCAAATGAATTAAACTTCCATTCAATAAATGAAGGTTGTTTCGCCAATCTTTTGCTCTTCTTTTGGGAATCCTTCATGTTGTACTTGGGGGAGAAATTGTGTTTGAAGGGAGAAGCTTTAAATGCATAGATTCCAATGAAATTCCAAATACCTGGACAAAGCAGGAACAGGCACTCCTCTCGCTCGAATCGATGCTTTTCCACGGACAACTGGAACTTCTGCAGTTTCTGAGCCACCATTTAAATATGTTAATTCTTGAAGCTGTGCCTGTCTGATTTCATCATTGTAGTCCTAAAAGAAGGGAGAGACAGAGTGAGAAAAAAAATCTAATTGTTTACCCAACACTCTCAGGAAATACTGCTCCTGAAAGTCTCCTCTTAAAAAGCTGAACATTCCACAGAAAAAGTTTAATTTAGATAATAAGATAGGAATAATATTCAGTCCAAACATTATTAGAGAATTGTACACAATAATTCTACATAATTCTTCCATTTTTTGCTCGGGCATGTTTTTCTTCCATTTGCATATATTTTATGTGGCTTTACCAATTAAAATTGCGAAGTTAAAAGGATGCAGAGATAGGAGGAAAGCAGAAAAAAAAATCAAGATCCCATATTCTGAATTGAGATCTAGTTTGTAGCTCCAGCTGTAGAATGACTGTGTGCTAAAAGCAGGAAAAAGAGAATAGAGAGAGAGCAAAAGAGTAGAGAATAAATACACTGTTGAGAACAACACATAAAAATGAAGGAATAGATTAGGAATCTACACTTTTAAAGTCAGGTGTTAGAGAATGAACACAGGAATTCATTCAATACACACACACTGTTATCTAATAAGAAGAGCTCAAAAAATTAAATTCTATAATATGCAATGGTAAAAATGCCAAGGACATATGGCTTATTTCTGTCTGCACAAATCCCCTACTCTCAAGGTCTAGCAAAAGGAAAGCTCATGTTTTTACAGACAGAATTAATATGGTACTTCTCAAGCACAGTTTTCAGGGACCTTGAGTCAACCTCCGAAACAAGCAGAGCACACAGGAATAAAACAGACCCAGCTCTGAACTCTGGAGATACAAGTGTTTTTCTATCATTTCTCCTCCACTTAAAGTGAGGCAAGCAGAATGCAGCCATAAAGGTGAATTAAAGATAACTATTTTACCCAAGGTGCATCTGTACTAGCTGAGAATCAAAATATTAATAGGTGTTCCCATAGGAACAAAGGGATACTTGTGGTACAACAGCTCTTCTGCAAATCCTCCCATTTCATGAAGGAGGGTTTGTTTTAACACCACCCGTTTTGCAACTCAATGACAAAACAAAGAATCTGCATCTCACTGCAAATCTGAGTTTATTACATTAGACAAGGACCAAAAGATTGTCAGGCAGTCTTAAAGACTCTGAAATATAACCCTGCATTGAAAGGAGATTAAAACTTCTATGAATTCAAATCTCTCAATTATCCTTGAAGCATTCTGCTTCTCCTAGACTTCTATAAATAGAAATAAAAAAGCTGTCCTTTATATGCCATTGCTGAAGGAACTTACTGGTGTTAAAAAAAGAAGCACCATAACAGCATTTTGTCCAAATTGCCTTAAATGGGTTCTGAAATTTAACTCCCAACTGCCCACCTGAGATCATCCTCAATTTAGCAGCAGAAACAAAACAGAAAATATGAAAAAGGTCTAAAAGACTGAAATAACTGTTTCAAATGGCATAATTGAAGCTTTTGAGAAACAGAGTCCATTATTAAATGGCCAGGACCCAATACATAACTAATCCATCACAAGGAGAAGACTAAAAACAGGAAACTGAACACTCTTCTGGCCAGTTACTGTACAGAAACCCACTTTGTATTTTTAATTTGTTGCTGGATCCAAGCTGGCTACAAATGCAAAATTCTATGTCCTGTATAGAACAAAACACCACAATACTGTACCACCAACATGCAGTATCAAAGTTCTGGCAGCCTGTATCAGATGCCCTTTATAATTTCTTCACAAAACATCTTTTTCAGAACTGTGCCCCTGGAAAAATACCTTTGATCATTTTTTACTCAATTAATTTAATCTCCTAGCAAAGATGTGCTCAGGTTGCCACTGTGTGTGTTGGGTCCCTTTTTCTTTTCTCCCTGATGCTTTCTCACTTTCCTGCAGCACATTACCAGACACAGCAGCAGCCTTAGGTCACAGAGAAGGGCTCCACTGTGCACAGCACAGAACAGAAAACACAGCCCTTATCACAGATGCCAGAGGCAGCAGGAGGGTGCAGAGTGAAGGGGCAGTACAAGGCAGCCACGATAAGCTGCAGTGTTAATCCATTAGACTCTGAAATGGATTCCTCAATTAAAAGTAGCAGACGGTCAATTTATGAATACTCACTGCTGGAAACAGTGCACTTCAAGTCAAATTAAGTAGACAATCTTTTCCTCACCTAGAAGATAGACATGGAAACCCTTTCGACTGCATTCCTCCTCTGAACAGCTTAGGCAGTGGCAGTACTTGAATTTCAGTCAAATGTTGCTGCTGAATTTCAACTGAACAGATGTACTCTCACTTTATGAATAAACTGCCTACCCTGATTAACTACAGTCTTATCCAACCATGGAGGGTGCATTTACACCAAGATCCATGCAAGAGATTTTCATCCCACCAGTCCCCACACGTATATGATCTAACTAAACCTTCTTTAAAATTTTATCCATGATTTTCACCCAGCCAGATCAACACATTGGCAGCAGTTCTTTAGGATCACTCTAGCTTAAGACCTTATTTCAATTTATCATTTAAACCATTAGCAAAGATATTTATTTATATCATGTTAGGACAGGTGCCTACAAAACCCTTTGTAGCTTTGCAAAGCATTCAAGTAGATCTTTATCCTGACAGTGAGCAATCAATAATTATCTGGTTTCCAGCCACCTTTTTACACCTCACAGTTACTTGCCAGCTTACTTAAGGAAAAGTCTGTGAGAGCTTCCAAAGGCCACCAGACTCTTCAAAATGCCATTAAAAGCTATTTCATCACCACATCTTACAAATCAAATATGCAGAAGGTAGGACAGGCTACAGGAAAAGGTTGTGAATGCTGTTCACATTGTCATATAACTGGCATAGATTGTTCTCTCAAAGACATTTCTATACTTGGCATTAAAGACAAGGAAAACAATCTCTGGTAACCAAAGGCAAAGGGTAATTAGGGCTGTATCTGTCAGAAAACAAATGACTGCCACTTCTCAAAAATTAAGCAAAACAGGCTAAGTTCTAATGGCCAAAACTGCCATAGCCATAGAAACACAGAATAGTTTGGGATGGAAAGGGCCTTAAAGATCATTTCATTCCAACTCTCCAGCCATAGGCAGAGACACCTTTCACTAGACCAGGATGCTCAGGGCTCCATCCAGGCTGGCACTGAAACCCTGGTATAATACAGGGGCAGGTGACGTTGAAAGGATCTGGCTTTTTGACCTGACAGAAGTAATTCTGAGATATCCAGTATCAAGGACAACACCCACCAACCTAATACTCAAACAAGAGTGCTGATCAAAGAGTCTGGCCAGAATAAAGGGAAGAACTAAAGGGTCTGGCTAATTTAAAGGAAGGTAAAACCATATACTAAAAGAAGTCCCAATTCCAACTGCAGAAGAAAGGCAAGACTCAAGGCAACATAACCACAGCCAAAAATACCCTCAAAACCAACTTTTATGTTTTGGGTTGAGTAATGTCAATAGTGTAAATGAAATTACACCACTGCAGCTGCTTGAGGTTAAATTTCAATGCAAGGATGCTTGCCCATGGATCCAAAGATCCAATAAGAGAGACTGAGGCATTTTTGCTATAGTCAGCTACCACAAGGATATTCTGTATTCTGCATTCTAGCACCAAACACAATGTTATGTTCAGCACTGATCTGAAAAATGAACAGTAACCATATTCATAAATTGGGTCTAGCATCTAAAACTGTAAGAAGTCAGAGTGAGCCTACATTGTAAGGAGAGTGCAAATTATGATCATAATCATATATACTCATAGCAGGACATCTTCCCTGAAATAAAACAGGTAATTTCTTAAGAAAGCTTCAACAGATCTTGAAGGAAAAAAAAACAAACAAAAAAACCCAAAAAAAAAGCCCAAAAAAAAAAACCCCGCAACCCAAATTGCATTTGGCAGCAGTGAACCAAACAGCTGTTCTAGAGAAGCAAAAGCTGCTCCTTATTCCTTCAGTGGCTGCTGCAAGGGGGGGCAGGTGAAAGAGAATAAGGCATTTAGAGCAATTCTGATAAGCTTACATTTGAAAAGCCAAAGGGAAATTAAGACAGTGTTGGCTTGATCCCACAGTTCAGGAAAGATTATGTAGCATCAGTTCAGCTCAGTATAATAAAGATGCAATGATCAAAAAATAAAGATGGAAAAGTGTATAAGCACCAGTCAATGGATTGGTCATTATCAGTCTGTAATTCTACTGGCTTAACACACTAATGACCAGGTTTTGATAAGCTTACTTCATTTATGGCAACATTAGGGAAATCAAGCTCAATGAAGAAAAATAAGACCTCTGATGAAGGGGACATGAGGATCAGGCATATCCGTTCTTCCAGCACGTGCAAGAAGCATTAATCAAATCAAACATATTTCTATCTAAAAAAGGCAGCTGTTTGCTGTCTAGAATAAACAATAATTTAATTCTCCTTATCTCTCCACACCATTAAATAATGAAACCATGTAAATAGAGAAACCTTTGACATTATGACAGCCCAGCATTCCTACAAATATTCTGTAGAGTATCCCCTGTCTGATGTGTTAGGATATCTGAACAGCAGTATGCTCATTCACCTCTTTTCATATGCATCCAGCAAAAAGTAATTTGGAACCTGCAGACAAATGTACAATGTGAAGCTTGATTTTTTATAAGATGAGAACATAACACCCAGGACATCTTTGCTTTTTAACTGTCCTAAAGTGCATCTACATAAGGTTATTTCACATCAGGACATATTCCTACTGAACTTACTGACAATTGTCATTTATCATCCTTTGGTTCATATCACAGTGCAGTACTGGGGCACATGAACTCGCTTCATTCAGACAAAAACAAGTCAGAAGAAACACTCCAGGAGCACACAGCTCCAGTCACCTGGAGACTTAGTTTCATAAAAGAGCTTAAGTTGGAAAGGACCAAGAGGAATCATTTAAGTCCAAATCCTGGCCCTGCACAGGACACCTCTAGAATCCCACCATTGCCTGAGAGCACTGTCCATTTCTTGAACTCTGTCAGGCTTGGTGCTGTGGCCATTTCCCTGGGGAGCCTGTTCTGATGCCCAGCCACTCTCTGGGTGGTTACACAGATGTGGACTAGGTTTGGCACAAACTATAATTCCCAAAATACACACGGGAGCTGTTAAGTCACCAGCACCAACTGTACAAGAGACAACCCCAGCTGGTCCCCAATACAGCCACTCTGGCTCCACTCAGACATTTCCAAGCTGTTGTCACTCACGCACATGCCTCAGGAAGCTTTCCTTGGCCAGGTCCCCACAATTCCCAGATCTAACACAAATAAACACTAACACTTGGGTAACATTTTCAGCAGTAAAAATAAACAGAAGTCAATGCACCTTGAGAACGCTTTGCTTTCTATACTATTCCTTTGATCACCAATAGAGACTGAAGAAATGTTCCTTTAAGAGCTAAAACAGGTGGGAACTTCACACAGAGAAACATCACCTCAAGTGCCCCAGAACTTCCTCAGAGAGGCTGGATTTTTTCAAGCAGTTTAAGATTGAAAAGAAGTAAGGTTGCTTCTTACATGAGGAGAAGATGAAGTTATCTTCTAATAGAAGACATTAGAAACCCATTAACTGGATATATCCTAAACCTGGAGTACAAAATTGTACTGGAAACCAGATGTCATTTTATACACCCATACAATGGAAGCTGAAGTATACATCAGAGAACAAGTATAGCTCATGTATCACTAGTATGGTGATAAAAATGAAGATACAAGATAAACCTGTATTGATTCTCAGCACTCAATACTAAACCAGGATTACAGGTGAGAGAAATACTAAAACTTCAAATGTATTAATTCTTAAACTGATGCTTCATATTTACAAAGAAAACATTAAAGGCACACATTTTACAGACTTTTACAATTATTTGTAGTCTGTGATACTTTGCATATGACTAATTAGGCAAGAATAAGTTTCTCTTTTACTGTAGGTCAAGTAATGAGATTTGTGTGGACAGTTACAGATTCACCCAGTGAACTGCCTGTATCAAAATGCAAAGTATTTGACAATCATCATTTCTTTCACAAAGGAAATCAAGCAACATGACCTGACCAATGTTGTGCACTGTTTAGAACCACAGAACAGTTTGGGTTGGAAGGGACCTTAAACATCATCTATTTCCAACCCCCTGCAATGGACAGAGACACCTTTGCTCGACCAGCTTGCTCAATTTTAGAGATAACAGTTCTCACTCAAGACTACCAGAATTCTCATTAAAAAAAAATACTAACAGGGATGAGGAACTTCTTGATTTCTTCCAATGCATGTCCCATTCTGGCATATGCTTCTGCAGGTGGAGCAAATACTTCAATTAAAACATGTAGGTCATCATTTAGGTGAAAATACTTTGCCTCTCCACTTTTTCTCAACTCTTCCTCCTAGGAGATAAGAAAAAGATTGTTTTTACACTTTCTCATTTGAAACATTGTAATGCAAGTGTTGAAGTTTCTCCAGAGGAATTTGCAAATACTGTTCACTCATGTTCAGATGTCTGCAAATAAAAAAGTAACACAAAGTAAGAGCCAACAGCTTCTGCTCACAGACAGAAACTGCAGCACAAGGAGGAATGCTTCCAAGAGTTTTCCCAGGTGCACCAGTTTTATTAAGAAGACACTTTTTTCTTGAAAGTAAAGTCTACAGAAACGGGTTTGATCTAATATTCCACAAGAGCAAGCTTCTTTTACCAATATTATTTCAATCTCAGCATTACTGTGCTGTTCACACTGCAGTTTCTATCCAATGAGTGCATCCTTCACAGAACTGTGCTATTTGGACATAAAGTTAACAGCATATGAAATGAGGGAAGAGAACATTAGCAAAAAGAGTTCACTTGCTATTTCAGTAGCAAGCTTATTTCTTTCATCTTCCTTCACCCAACCCACTTCAATGACTGCAAAGCTGAGTTCAACGGAGTAAAGCAGAGCTCAGTTCTCAAATACTGACATTCACATGCAAAAGATTCACACACCAAAAGGGCAGCAATTGCATTTTTCAGGCTGCCCCTTGCCTGTGTGTACTTGACTAGTCCAAAGGGATGAAACCAGCCCTAAAACTACTTTCTCATTTAAAAAAAAAGTATTTATTACAGTTGTCCATTTTTTTCATATAGGTCCTAAGATACAATGATAACATTATATCAAATAATTAGCAGTCCTGTTGTCTAAAAAGCTAACACTCCCCTGCAGCTTCCTGTATTTGGCAAGCACCAGGTAAGCACTTCACCCTTAAGATTACTAAAATTGTAAATTGCAATCATAGTTGAAATCTCCCCTGCACACCCCTAATTATGGGTTGAAGTTTATATGTGACAATCCATTTCTGCTCCTCATGAATAACATTCCTATCAACATGATTTGTGTTTAACTATGAAGATGTTTAAAACAGGAAAAATAACCAAAAAAACCAGTCTAGATCACTGTCAGAGCACTCAGACCAAGAATATTAAGAGGTCACTCAGCAGGATTAGACTCTGTCAGCAAAATCATTATTTTGTCAATAAAAAAGAGAGATCATAAAAATAGCAAGTAACATAATATAAACATCACAGATCAAATATTTAGTTTTAATAGGAACTGCTTCTCAGTTAAATACTTTAGGCACAGTTACTCAAAACATATAAGTCACCAGCCCTGGAAGCCAGTTGAGTTCCCCATATACTGGTTTTTAGTATATACTTGAACCACATGTTACCTGTCCTTTTCTCCTAAAGAGGAAAAAAAATCACTGTGCAGTTAGTTTGTGCAGAAAACAGAGTGCTAAGAAACTTCCTTTCTGTGTTTATCAATCAAGTTGATAAAAGCAATAAGCAATGGAAGAGTCACCATTTGCTGCATAGGATCTGGTAAAAAAGCATTTCAATCAGCACCTTCAACAAAACACACAGAATTTCAATGCAGGTTTTTTTAAGATCATTCCCATCACCAAACTTGTAAGATCACTCTGCTTTTTTTGCTAAGTTCACTTTATTATTGTATTTTATTTTAGTTCTGTAACAAGACTTGGCAATGATTCCATTTCTTTCTCCATTACTTGCAAAGACAGAAGTTGGACTTCGATGATCAATGTGGGCACCTTCTAGCTCGGGACATTCTGTGGTTCTATGAAAATACTACACACTAAACCTCTTATAACAGCACACAAATGAAAATAAGCTCATTTACTCACTGGCTACATCTCACAACCTTGGGAACACATTATGCATTTCAGGTGGTTGGTTGTTTTTTTTTCATTTCCCATGAAGATCAACACAAAAGCCACAACTTGTTCCCATTCCAGTATCCCTCTTTGACAGCAATTTAGCTCCCATAAAATTCTCCGCCTTCCTCTATGTGACATCTATTGGCTTGATTCCACTGCACGTGGAATCTTGGCTTGACGGGCCAAAAAGAGACATTAACCAATAATCAAGATTAGGATCTCCTATGCTTTTTATTTGTTCCAATTTTCGTTACAAGGTTTGTTCCCCTCCTCAGAAGTTTAAGGTTAAGTATCAAAACTCCACTGATATAGTCAGGCCTTACCTTTGTCTTGTCCCTCATGGAACCTTTTCCCAAAATAGACATTTTTGTCAGTGTTTCTTCCTGTAAACGCTTTAGAGAATTACCACGTGGACCCAAAAGTTTTCCCACAAAGTTGAACTGTAAGAAAGCAAACAAACAAAAAACCAATACATTAACTTCATTGGATTTTTAATTGTAAATTAATGAGCAATGAGTAAATAAAAGGGATATTTTGCTGAAACAGCTTTTGATCATAGGTGCAAATGATTAGATCAAAAATTAAAAAATATTAAGTACAATCACATAGTACAATTAATAGAATGTCAGTGGCTCCAGCAACACAGAAGTATCTGAACTCAAGGACAACTTGGTGTCCAATACAGGCTGCCAGGTCAAGAGGAGCCTTGATAAAGCCCCCTTGCTCCAGCTAACATTGGAGGCATCGTGCCCAAGGCTTCTGTCCTGCTGAGGGACTCCAACCACCCCAACAGCTGCTGGAAAAGCTGCAGGCAACTCTGGAGACTCCTGGAATGCATGTGGGACAATTTCCTGACCCAACTCCCACACCCCAACACCTTCTGGAAAAGAGGCAAGGTGAGCCCCAGGCAACCCTGGAGACTCCTGGAATGCACATGGGACAATTTCCTGACCCAGGTTACAGACAGAGCTACCAGAGGGGAGGCATAATGGGATCTGCTGGTCACCAAGGCAAATGAGCTCAATGGGCACACCAGGATTGGAGTGCATTGGATGTGGATTGGGTTAGGAGTAAAGTTGGGATCATGAATTTTAGGGAAGCAAACTTCCAGCTCTTTGGGGAGCTAGTCAGTGGGATGCCCTGAGAGAGTGCCCTCAGGGATGAGGGAGTGGAACAGAGCTGGCAGATCTTTAGGGAAGTCTTCTATTGAACACAAGAGTTAGTGATTCCCAGCAGCAAGAATTCAGGCAAGAGACCTGCATGGCTGAGCAGGGACAGGCTGGTCAAACTAAAGGGCAAGAAATAAATACACAGACAGTGGGAAGTTAAGACAGGTGACCTGGGCAGAGTATAGAGATGAAGTCTGGTTGTGTAGAGTTGAGGTGAGGAAGGCCCAAGCACAGCTGAAACTGAATCTGGCAAAAGACACAAAGCAACAGAAGGGCTTCTCCAGATGTCCAACCAGAAAAGGAAGGTTAAAGAAGGTATTGTTCCCCCTTTGCCCTGATAACCAATGCTAGAAAAGTGGTTGCAACAGATAAGAAGGTTGAAGCACTCAACACCTGAAGTGATGCAATCATGTTAAAAAGATAGTTTTAGGCAGAAATAAAATATACTGATGCTGAACAGCAAACGAGCTTAAGCCTTATGGCCTCAAATTTATGAAACAGTTTGTAAGTTCTTTGCTTGTTCCTCTACTACCACATCACTGAAGAGCCCAGATGGGCCGCACTGATCTCCCTGTTCACCTGGAGTTACTTGAAAGGACCTAACAATGGGGCAATGGCAGTCACAAATCTCTTGCTGCTACACTGAAATGATGGAACAAAGGTCCAGCTCCACTCACCCTACAATGCACAAAGTCTACAGCTCCAGTTCATTTCTTTCAGCTTTAGACAAAAAGGAAAACAAGCATTAAAGGTCAACTAAATATGGAAATATAAGTTTATTCCCCCTATTAGTTGAAAATGCAATTCCCAATGTAGACCTGACACAATACTATTGAGAAAATGGCTTACAGATCACTGAAGTTTAAAGCGCTTATTAAATTTAAGCTTGCATGAACCAGCCTTTTCTGAAATTATCAGGTCACATCAAAAAATTCTCAGGAAATTTCTTTAAATTTTTTTTTTAGAGTTGTCCATTTTTTTCATATAGGTCCTAAGATATAGTAAATAAAAATATTAATCAGAAAGACTGAACAGATACAGGCAAAAATTTCCCTTGCTGAGAATATTCAGGAGGCCACTGATGGGGTCCTGTGCAATTTAATTTACAATCATTATTTCAATAGAAGGTTGAACATCTGATGGCACAGATGTTCTCTAGAGATTCCCTTAACCTGGACTTCTGATTTTACTGTTTCTGAAGCTATAACTAAGGAAAGCAAACCAATTGAAACAATTTGTAACAAATTTGAACCTTAAGATGTCAATTACTCCTTAGCAAGAGTTTCCTTAAAGGAAGCTCACAGTTCAGCTGAAAGTAAAGCTTTCATGTAGAGGAACACCACCTCAGTTTTTCAAGCATCACTTAAGATTACTTATGTCTACTTATAACAGCCTTTTAAGCTACTGGGAACAAAAATAAACACTTACTCTTTACTGCAGCTATATTCTTTCAGCTAAAACCAAGTAGTTTAATGTTGTGTAAATCTAAAACTTGACATACCAAACTTTAATACCTCCAAAAGTTGTCATCTTTTAAAAACCATGAAATCTCTAGTGCCAAAGTCAGAGACTACAGAAGCTATCCAAGGACTGCACAGATGACATGTTCTAGACACATTTAATGAACATGAAAATGTATTGTCTGCATCCTGAGATCCACCGAACTATTCTTTCCTGAGCACCAAGGCTCCAAATATCTGATTTGACAAGTCTGAAGCATAAGAAACTTGTGTTGCAAGTCTGAAATTCTGCTAATTTAAAAGCACAATGCTTCTAGGTGTAGCTTAAAAGCACAAACAAAGGTTAGTAAAATATGGCTTGAAACACACTCACAAAGCATTTTTGCTCCCACATAACAAAACTGAGAGGCTTTGGAACACTTCAGTTGCTTATTCCATAAATAAAACCCATTTATGATATTGAAGGAATCTTTACAGTAGAAAACAGATTATTTACTCTGAACATTTTGTTCAAACCATTGGTTTATCTCCCTTTTACATCAAATTGGAATATGTGATCAAAGGTTTATTTTGAGATATTTTATAGATACAGAAACACTCAAAGTATCAGTCACTAAGTTACTACTATTACTTATACACTGCTTTCAATCATATAATAGAATATCTCAAACCTAAAGGTACAAATCCAGCACACAGGAAAAGAAATGCCACTTACAAAATTAACAAATCCCATTTATATGCTGGTGTTACAGAAGCAAGTCAGCCTGGCAGATCCAGGTAAGCTCTTACACAAGAGTTCTCACATACAAGTTGCTATCCATGTTCCTTTCACATTTAGGGTTTATTTGCCCCAAGAGCACAAGAACAAAGAACAAATTCAGGTTTATTACTGAACTCAAGCTTATAAACTATCTCTGAATTAGGTACAGTGGATAGTAACAAACAGGCATCTGAGCTGCTCTGCCCGAGTCAAACCAGCCACATTCACTAGTGCTGGATCAGAATCAGACATTCCAGACTCCCCTCTTTACTCACCCTCTCAAACAGCACAATCACCTCCAAACTGCTGTAAATACCAAAAATTGTCCTCACCTTCACCAACATCAGCTTAACATTGTATAAAAGCAGTCACACTGTACTCCAGTGCAAGCTGGTGAAGTTTTCAGTTCTACAGGACAGATGAATTCTTAAGAGACCACCATAAATGTCACTCTACTCTGGATCACCTTTGTCAAATTAGGAATTGTCTCTGCCCTAAGACAGCTTCTAATGTAGAAGGTAAGTTCCAGTAAACTATGGACAATGGCATATAAAAGAGGAGATGAAGTCCTCAACGCAAATTTGCTTCTAGACCAGCTCTGAAGGATTTGGCAAATATGGTATCTCAAGCAAAATTACAGATATCTTTGCAAAACCAATACCAAGACTCTGATAAACAGACCTGGGAGGAAACAATTCTCTTCAGAACCATTTGATCTACTATATGAATTATAACAACAACAAAAAAAAATCTAATGCCAGTGTTACCACATTTTTAAATGTATATATTACAGAAAAGGGGATATAATAGAAAAAGTAATCCTTGTTTATCCCCAACCAAGGCAAGTCTGCTAAGAATGGTTCATCCAGCTTAAAACACTTAGTGAAAGTATAAATGCTTGACCAAATGCTTTCCTGTAAAGCTTTAAGCACTCCATTGTTATTAAAACCATGGAAAGCTTTCTTCATATATTAGTTTTCTGCAATGGTTTCTCTGTGACAGGGTCACTAGAAAAAAAAAAAAGTTAAGATTCAGAGCACTTTCCCCTGGAATGACCTGAAACAAGGCAAGCTTCAAGGTTTTTCCTATTCATCTCAGAAAGATAAAGTTTTTATAGAAAGGTAAGTGCTTCAAGCATCAATGTTACATCACAAACTACTCTGCTTCATGCAACATAATAATAGGTCTTTAAACATTTATTCATAGCAGAAAGCTTGGTCAATTTTGCTATAAAGCTGCTCAAAAGTTTTCTCTGTGATTACTATTGATGCTTATTTCTCCACATTACTTCTGGTTATGCAATGACATTTTCTCATTTCTGCTTCAAGAAATGAGCTATTATGAAAAATTGCTTTCTAACTAGTCATGTGATTAAAATATTAATCTCTCAATGACTTTACATAACAATGACAGATATATTGTATATGACAGTGATATTTTAGAACAGGTATTTTCACTTTAAAAGTTGAGCTAAAAGGCTTAAATGGATACCAGTTCCACAAGTCAGTAACTTTTGAGAAAATACATTTAAAGTATCACTTTGGGGAAAAACAGACCATTTCTTCCTAACTTCTGAGATTTACCCAGTATTTAAGTGTAGATCTATGGGCAATTTTTAAAATGGTAGCATGTCAAAATGGAAATAATTATTCCCTACAGTTTTGATCCATCTCATGGAAAGCCATCATGATTCCATTTACCACCCATGGAAGCTATTTTTTCCATTAATTCAGAACACCCAAGTTCAGCAAACTGTCAAAGCAAAATCAGATTCTGAGACAAAACTACTTCACAATGCGTATTCATTAAATGTATGGGAGGGGTAACACGTTCCTGCCTCACAAGTACACAACAAAGCTCTAAAACACCTTCCACATGTGATGGCTCTTCATAGCAGAGCTGGGACAGATCCAGAGTCCCTCCACAACAGCATCAGGACCTTCCTTGAGTGGCTAGCTCATTTTGTGTGCCTTTAAGTCTGTGCAAGTTTGAAGATTTTCAAGCATGAAACACAACAGAAATACAGGTTTAAGCATCACATTCTCACGCACAACCCAGAGTCAGTTGAGGAATTCACCAGCTCAAAGAGCAAGTCACTCTAACCTCAGAGCCCTGAGCTAACAAGATCTCATTCCACTACCTGCAGTTTCAACACCCAGCATGCACATGGACTCCTTTCTACAGGTAATTTGATTTTGAAATCAGTTCTACCTCAAAAAGTTGGTTCTTTTCCTATAAGGCTGCACAAAAGCCCAACCTGGCTAATCCTTCCTTATAGTAGATGTGCCAGTTATAACAGGACTGCAGACAGCATTACCAAAGCTTATTCAAGCTTCCCCTAAATACCTCAGATTAATTTCTGTATCACAGCTCTTCAGGCCTCTTGGAGGCACCTGCAGAGTTGAACCAAACCAAAAACTCTAAGACCCTGCACAACCATATTTTGAAAAGATGTGACTAGGCCTGCAATCAATAGAGGAGTTTCCACAAGGTTTTGTCTTACCAGGTAAGACCAGCTATCTGTCACCATATCAAGACACAGTAAATCAGGGACTAATTTTACAGGAGTCTGTAAATAACACAAGGAAATTTATTCAAATAGTAATTCAGCATCAAGGAGAAACTGAACATAACTCCTGGGACTAATCATCTTGAGTTATTTCATAGCACAGACAATTCAGGTTGTCTTGGTTATTCCATCTCCTTCTATTAAGGCCCAGGTATGAAAAAAACCCATTTAGACCAACTATCTGTAGCATAAGATTAAGCATGTTAACTAACACTGCCAAGGGTTGAGTAAGACAAAGGTTCCCAGCTAAAGTATTTAATTACAGAGCATCACAGAAAGAACCAAGAGCTCTTAGGCAGGAGGCCAATCAACCACATCACCGGGAACACTCAACTATTTGTGCACTAAGCAAAAGACCAAAAACTCATAATTTTTCAGGGGGAGCAAAGATGCCCAAAAAAGTGCAATATACACTTTTGAATGTGAGGTCTACCAGTTTCTTTTCCAACAGAAACCCAGCTGCTCTGCACTTTAGTTGAAGAGCTTCGGCTGCACTTAACCTGTCACCTTGCAGGGCTGTCAGAGGTAATTGCACAGGACCCAGCCATGGGCTCATGAGAATGGATGTGACAGGACAGGAAATGTGAGCAGGCATTACCATGCCAGGCTGATCTGATCAGAGCCTGCACTGCCTGACCTGTGCTGAGGCTATTATGATTTATTCAAGGAATCAGAGTTACAGAAAAGTTTTAAAGAAGGAAAAGGCAATGTAATATACATTTCAGGTCTAGCAAGTTGTCTTGCTTGGGGGCAGGGCACTGATGGGTTGTTTTGATTCACAGACGTCTTTTATAACAAAAAATTATGATACGATTAATTAAATATCAATATAAACAAACAGCAGAGGCATCTTTCTTTCCCAGAGTTATCCCTGGCAAATGTAAACCAAGGAATAATTATCTACCAACCCTGCCAAAGGAGTTTACCAGTTTTGTCACGCACAGCTTGTCCTTAGTGAAGCCACCTTGGCTGTCACCAATCAGCCAACATGGATAAATATCCAACACATGCACTCTACATAGAGTTCAGGGCAACCAGGATGATTGGAACCCCATATCCATCACACAAATCTTGACAAAGCATCTCTAACTTCTGATCCCTCCTCTGAACACATAAAATAGAAATAGGATTAGCACTTCAAAAGTTTATGGATGCAAAAAGATTTTGTTCTCCCATGTTCAGGCATCTAAAACTCATGTCACTTACTGCAGACTACAGTATACCAGAATAAGATTCTTAGTTTGCCATGTTATGTCATTTCATACAATGTATCATAATTTATTCAATCTCAAAAATAAAACCACAAGTCTGGTTCTAATACCAAGTGACAGCAAATTGCAGTGACTTGCTGTGGTTTAGGGCAGGTGCTTTTCAGAGGTATCAGGAGTACCTATCATAATTCTGAACTGATACTCCCTATACAGCGAGAAATTTTAGTTCATTTTGACTCTACAGAATCTTTAATGAGTAACCTTCATCAAATATCCATTTACATGCAATAAAATGGAAATTTCTGAGAGAAGTTGAACTCCCAAATATTGGGGTAAAATTATTCTTAAATATTAAGTATCTAGGATTTTATTCACTCAGGCAGAAGACAGATTTATGTGAATAGAGATATTTTCCTTTCTGTGGAGCAGTCCTAGTAGAGATGCAGGAACTCACATGACATGTCTGTTCTGCACAGCTGCTTTATTTTGCACCTCTGGACCTGCCTGGATATAAGTTCAGGGTTCTTTCCATAGCACACAGCAGGCTTTATTCCAGCTCAGTGTCTTTATGGGTCAGAATCAAACAGCAGAGCATCTCTAGCCATTCAAAATATGGCAAAGGTTTTCCTACTAGCTATCCTAAATAATGTCTGTGTTTAGTCCTATAAGGAAAGTTGACACTAGATAAAGAAGCAGAAGTATCTTTCAGCAGGCAGTGTTTCCCTTTTTAATGGCCAGTTTGCCTCTCTTGCCCCTGAGCTCAAGTATCTACATTCAACATTTAGAAGAAAAACATCCTGTTTGCAAACACTGACCATGGAATAAGGGGTTCATGTATTTCACCTTCCCATCCTCATGTTTTTGCATGCTTGTATATAGCTCTACTTAGCCATAAATATGACTTTAGTCAGAGTTCCAAAGAGGTGCCCACATGATGTGCAGCCTTGCACTCACTCAAAAAATATTTAATGAAATTTTGAACAGCAGGAAAGAAATCCCTGCAAGTTATCCTGCACAGGCCTGTGAGAAAAACACTGATACTGTGCAGAAAAAAACCCAAACAATTAAAAGGTTTTCCTAAACAGAAGGGAGGAATGGTGACTTTTTTCCCCTCCATGAACAGATAGTCTTGAAATTTCTAGTAGGAAGAAAAAGCCATTTCAAACAAATTTTAAAAAATGCTAATCTGATTGTCATAACATTAACCTTAAAATTCTAAGCAGCACCAAAATAATAAAGTTCCACAGCCTACTGAATGTTGCACAAATGCTTCCAGGCAGCAATATTTTAGTGCAGGATAATACTTGGCAGTAAAGAAGTGTTAAGAATTCATGGAGGGCAAAGATATTAATGCAGCAGTCTCTACCCCTCCAGAACAGACTGCATAATTTAGCAGTCAAGCTATAATTCATTCAAGAATAACAATGGCTGAAACTTAAGAGGATGAGAAGAAAATTTTCACAATTAGTTCCTTAATGGTGCATTTTAAGCTGCACTTCCAGCTACAATAAGAAAGTTTCAAAGTCTGGCATCAGATTCAACTTCAAAACTTGTTTTTCCTCTTGATATTCAGAAGAAGAGGATCCTGCTATCCCAAAAACATGGCTCAATTATTGCTCTCAACATACTATTTTATGTGACCACCACCCCTTTCCTGCACATTTATTCCAACAAATGAAGAATGTAGGAGCTCTAAGGTAGAATCACTTCTACCTTAGTAGAAGTAAGGTAATAGTTTCAAATGTTACATTAAAGAATAGTTAAGATACTAGTGAAATATCTTTTATAAGAACTAATATTTATCAAATATGAAAACTGGGCTTACCTTAGGGAATTGTTTTACTGGAATCAGAACTTTTTGTCCCAACTTCATATTCTTATTGATGACTACATCAATATACTTTTCTTCTTCCTTTCCTTCCCCTTTTTGGAATTTTTCAATTTCTGTTAAAGAAAAAAGTTATTTTTTTAGTTTAATGCAACAATTTAGTTTAATGCAACAAAGCCAAGAATCTTCATATTCAGTATAAATACATTTCAAAGCTAATACTGTAGGGCATACTTATGACATATTGTGCAATCAATACATGTAATTGGTTATACAAGGCCAACAGGATAAAGCATGTTTCCCTTTTTTGTATATTCATGTTTATACCAGCACCTTGAATTAGCATTGCAAATACTGTAGTCATTTAACACTTAGGATACATTTTTTATATGGCTCAATTAGTGAAAACTATTCCTAGATACCTTTGAGCATGTATAAATTAAAAAACATAGCATAGTTTAATATTCAACAATTTTGTTCCTCTTCTATAAAGAATCAGTTTTAATGGCGGCTTTCTACAGTGGACTGAGGAACAAATGTCAAATTAATCTTTTAGAATTTCAGAAATGTAATTGAGGCACATAGATCATACCCAAAAATCCGAGATTAGTGTTATACCAACAATGACATTATTAGGAATGGGATTTACAAGTTCAAACCCTGGCTTGCATGACTCAATTCATTCCAGAGGCACACACAAAACTGACTCTTGATTATACTTTTCTCCAAATATTGACTCTCCAGTGTGCTAATGAAAAGCTGCAGATTTCATTTCATTAGAGAGGATTCATGAGGAGCACACAGGGAGATGAAGTGAAGCAGTTCTGCTGGGTTGGGTCCATCATGCTGCAGCATTAAAGATGTTAGCACACACCAAAACCCAACCCATTTCACAAGTGCCAGAGAAGCTCTGCTGTGGGAATCTAGCACTTGTCCTCCACAAGCATCTCCACAGTTCATCTGTTACAACAAGAAACACCCTTCTACTCTACTGGACCACTAGAAATTAAGGACATTCATCAAGACCCTGCAGTTTCTCTAATGGGAATGTGATATTAGGCTGAGAGGAGACTAATGAAAACCTGAACACAAAGAATCCAATCAAAAATATAGGAGAAACCAGCCTTTAGTACACCTTCAAAGACAGTCTGGTTTGAAATTAGGTCCAATGAAAAGCAGAACAAACCAACAAATTTCTAACTGTGGAAAAAATCCATGCATTATTAGCAGATTTGTTTTATAATACCAGTCCATTTCAATTTACCACTACAGAATTAAGATGCCAACGTCTTTTCTAATAACTGAGACTTATCTTCCATGCAAGCTCTAACTTCACTAACACAAAACAGGAAATAAACAATTTATCCAAGTTACTGTTCAGTCCTGAAAACTAAGGAAGTCAAGCCAGCCTCAGACTATCTGAAGGCTTCTTGAAGGAAAAGAATTCCCCAGCTGTACTTTTAAAACTTCTTGTCAAGTCTCTATGAAGTTTTGATTCCTATGGATTGTAACAATGTAAAAATTCTGGAGAAGCCCTATCAAAGCAACCTTACTCCAGCATGTCCTTTGTTACATCATGCTCAATAAAAAAAAAGTCTCCAGCACCATTATCCCACCAGCTAACAACTACTGAAGAATATTCAATATTCAAGAATATTTCAATATTCCAAATTTAGGTAAAAATGGAAATTTGGAAATGCCACATTACCGAATAGGGAATTATGGGCAATTAAACAAATATAAAGTTACATCAATTTCATTTGGAACTCATTTCCAGGTGAAATTAAGACTAAAAATTTTATAGTGTGATTGATTAGTGTTTCAGGAATCAGGTGACTGGTACCATTTAGAAGTCAAAGTTTCAAAAGATCAGATTCAGATGTAAAACCATAATACTGTCACAGCATTCAAATGCAGATATACCTGTAACACTGCTCTTTCCTCATATAACAAGGGCAGCAGTGACAAAGCTCTTTGATTTCTCTTGAAAAACAAGATTAGGTACTTAGAGGCTTTTATGTTACACAAGTAGAAACACAACACTAAATTTTAAGGCTGCTGTTGGTATTACTCTGTTAGTATAAACATTCAAAGCTTAAAACTGACCAGAAATTTGTTAATCTTTAGAAATATTTTACACCATGAAATGCTGATTATTAAAACTGCAATAAAAATACATCCATTTGTAATGATTGAGGCAAATGCAGTTGCAACAAAACTTGATATGATTTGATTTAATATTGATTTTAAATGTTAGGATTAAAGTTTTTCTAAGTCAGAAAAGCACAGGTAAACTCCACCAAATATTAAATTAAATAAATGCATTTTGCTGCTTTTTTTTTTTTTTTTTTTTTTTTTTGTGACAGAGAAATGCACCAAGACCTCCCAGGCAGTTCAACTGATCCCAGCCTGATGTAAGACACTTACGAGTTTTCAGTCACTGTAATCACTGTTACAGTAAAGGACTTTTTCCTGAAGAATCTAAACTTACAAAATAAAAGTACCTTCAGCATCAAAGCCCACCAAATTTTTATTAACTGGTAATGCTAAAAATTTGTTTTCTCATGTTGAGTCATATGCTGTTATCCCCAAATGCACAGCATGGCATACACTGCAATCCCCCTGCCCACCTGAAAGTGAGAATCACAACTTTATGAATCAGCAGTGGCTTAAGGAACTTCCTAGAAATTGCCAAAAAATATTACACCTGGAAATGAGCTGTTTCAGACACCTCAGATGCACTTAAAATGCAGTTGAAGAGTTAAGCACAGAGTTCTACCTCAGTAACATTCTTCAGCTGAGCCAGCTGCATAAATCGCTTAAGAGATCAATACAGTGCTAATTGTATTTCCTAAATACTTGAGCTCAGAAAAGTTATTTGAATTGGTTTTTGAAGGACTTGGTTGCAACAATGTGATTAATGCTAAATATGTTCATAATATGGGACTACTTTGAGCTGATAAAAAACATAAAAAGACCATTCTCTTCTTGCTCTGGTAGATACTGAACTTCAAGTCACTAAAGTAATTATTAAAAGAAACACATTACTTACTCCAAAAATCAGTTTTCCTAAGCCAAGTATCTACACACTTTATTGACCATTTTAAGCAAAAACCCTTTATTCTTTTACTTGTACTGTTTAAACAACTTCTTTTTTGCTTGAAGAAGTGACTGAAACCCATTAAGAGGCTGCAAATCAGCTCTCAGCAAAAGGGATCACAATTTTCCCTGTTTGTTTTAAAGACAAATTACTTTACTAACAAACAGCTATAGCCCATTGCCAAAGCAGTACAAAGTAAGATTAAGTAATTTTTTCCTGCTATGGTCTAATGTTAATCAAACTGATTTAAGACTTTCTTCCTCTTCATTGCTGTTGTAAAAGACTTTGTTTTATATGAACAAAGTCCAGTCCACTGATCACATTTTATCTCAGATTTTACTGTTTTTTATTTCTTTGCACTTCAAATCTAAGATGAACAGGAAATACAGCTAAACATTGGAATTTTACCCATATCTGCACAGCTCTTGAAATATCATTCACATACATCAAGCTTTAGATAATTAGGGGAAAATCATGCCAGATCACACAGGAAATCCAATCAGATTGTCAAGGTCAAATGGATAGGAAGATTTGCCTTTTCTTAATCCTTAGATTACGTTCTGCATTGCTTTGCTATATGAAGCAATGCCATTTCCTAGATCACAAGAAGTAAATAAACATGTGATTAAAGCTTCCCATAATGCCAGAGATTAAAATCTCATGTTCTCAGACCAAGGATGCAGCTAATGCAACAGGAATTTAACTGCATGCAGTAACAACTGCATGGATGGATTTTTTTCTTTAGATTCAATCATAGCAGAGATCTAAGCAATGATTAGTCCTCATTTAATTCACCAAACAACAGTGGTAAATACATCAGATAATGATGAAGTAGAATTGTTTCATATTATTCTTCAATTAGAATTAATCTTCCTGGGGCAGAAGTACAATCCAGGATTCCAGCTCCCTCAGCTAAGCCAATATAAATACTTGTATTTAATGCTGAGCAAAGTGATGCCCTATTTGTCTGTAGTAAATCAATATAATAGATGTAAGAACTAATGTCAACCTCAAAGTAAACAGAAATGTTTACTGCATTTGTCCTTAAGGCAATATTTCCTTTACACAAGATCAGGAGAAACAGGAACCAGGTCAATTTGCCTGCAAATCCTTAAGAAACTTTCTACTTTAATTCCTGACATTCAGATGTCTTATCAAGCACACCATTATATCCAAATATATCTGCTTTGGATGGAAGAAAATGTGAAAAATGCAAGGCTCATTCAAGGTTATCCACATGATCACAGCTTAAGAGAACAGGGCATTGATGGAACTGCACTGCAATTGCACTAGAAATAGTTTCCACGTTCATTTTGAAAGTGAAAATATTCTAAGAATTACATTATCCTTTAAAAATACTCCTAAATCAAGTGGGTTTGCAAATTACTAACATCATACAATAGAAGCAATAGATTTTGCTTTATTTGGGCAATTTTATTGCCTTGTATCTAAGAAAAGGAAACATCAAAATTTAGACTGACTCAATCAAGCATGTTGTACAACTACTGAAGCATAGCCCAACAGCAATATATTTCTCAGTGAATTCTCACAGCTTCACAGTTGACTTAGAAAAGTCACACCCTCCTCAATTCAGAAAGCTCTTAAGTCAAACTGAAGGCTAAGTATCTTTACATATTTCCCCTGTCCTTTTAGCTCTTGAAAGCTCACTGCTTTTGCCCATTGATGGAGACAGAACACTGAGCTCGAGGGCCATTTCCCCTGGCAGCATGATTCCTTTTGCTTTCACATCAGAAACAAATCAAAGTGATGGCACCACAAAAAACAGACCTTAACTTAGTAGTTTGCATTTTATGAAGACCCCTTTAAAAAACACAGTCAAGCTTTGGTAAGAGACAAGCTCCCAGAGGAAAAGGGGACTACAAGTCAGTTGTAGGGGAATTTCAGAGAAAAAAAAAATCCTTAATGGACAAAAAACTGACAATATCAGCATTCCATACGGTTTATTTGGAAATTTTCACTGTGGCAAACCCCATCATTTATCCAAGAAGACATATT